TAGTACATCTAGTATATAAACATCCATTCTTCTTCCTTCAGGAATCATTCCTCGACTTGAGCGGATTTTTACTGCGCATTAGATCGAAAAGACAAGACTAAAATATATCATGCATGTATGATTGTCAGATCATCAAATAGCATTCCTTTCACAATTTCCCTTCACAGAGGTTTACAAGGCGATAACAAATGCCTACATAAACGACAGCAATACTCATCCGAAACCATAAGATAAGGACAATAACAAGTCTAAGAATAAGATATGCAGCAGGTATGTACTGAGCCATGTGTCCACCTTCGCCCTGGTCTGGTCTGTCCCCTAGTTGTCAATGATTCCTCGGTTTCCCCAGACTGCGTAAAAGAAATATTGATACGCCTCAAACTCAAGCTTCAAATATACATCCCTGATATATCAACTGGCAAACTTCCGGTGAATGCTATGCAACCAAATTTCAGAACTATCTCCTTGCATCAAATCTCCGAGCCCCATTCACAGAAACCTACACTGAGATTACTGGCAATAATGTTGCGACGAGAGATCTTATATGGGCTATATATAAGATAGGCTAGTTCCAGCTTCACCACTGGACCAGACCAGACTATTTCCCACTACCCAAGGCCAAGATGGAAAGTTCGGATATATTTCAAAATTCTAAATTCTATATCTTGAAGCATAGAGAGGTAATGTAATACTAGTGCGGTATATTCTTTTGCCAAAAAAATATGATAGCATGATAGAAATATATCCACCAACAGAGCGAAATTAGTAACAATGAAAACAGACATAGAATAAATTTACAACACTTAATCCTCCTAATCACTAAGAGAGAAACCTATGTAAATCACTCCTACATGAGTACAATCCTAGCTTAAAAGCATCCATGTTTGTTGTTCTTGTTCTATAGTCCCATCCGGTTGATTATTTTGTCTGTTGTGATGAGGTTAAGGAGTTATGTTAGTACCGGCTAGATATATTTATACCCGTATCTCTCGTTGTAGATTGGATTAAATGATTAGCGGCATACTCGAGTTTATAAATACCTCATACTACCTGGTGATTTACAGTGATCAAAACCAGAAATGGTTTGTTTTGCTGCAGTCTTAGGAAAATATTGAGTGCATCCGTGTTTACTGGCTATACTATGGTATAGTATGTGAAAGTAAAGCTCTTCTTGAGAAAGGTATTGTAGAGGAGTGAGTTGGGATTGGGTGTTGTGTATTGATGAGACGAAATGGGATGAGATGAGACGAGATGATATATAATCATTTATCTTGACAAAAAATGTAACATTTTCAATAACAATAATAACAACTACAACATTCCTTGACAATAAGTAAAACACCTTAATGTGCAGAGATAATCCCACAAAATTACTCTAGCATCCTGCCAGGAAACGTTCTCTCCAAGAATGCCACCCCACCATCTCCATCCACGCCAAAAACAGCCATCCAGACATCAGGCAGTAGCAGCAAGTAACAAAATATTTCTAGTATACTCGAGTATTCATGTCAGACATATTCTGATCTATTTATAACCTTTGATTTAGAAACGATAGCTAATTAGTGGCTAGGGGTTACCTATGTCTTCATAATATAAGGTGATTCCTCCCATGGGTCTTTACTAGCTTTCTATGTTGAAATTATTGATGCGCCGGATAGAGATATAATTAATACCATGTATGCCCCCTTGCTTTTAGATTTTATATTTACTCGGAGATGAATATAATAAACAGTTGTGTATCATCCACCTACGCTCCAACTTGAGTATTTGACCGTGGAAATACAAAGTTTATAAACCGTCTATTCAACTTACTATTGAATAGAGATTGAAACTAGCATTTAAATCAACAATTCCATTTTCCTAGTTGTTTATTCGTTGTAAGTGAGTAGATAGAATATATTCGGGTAAGCATTGATACTTAGATTAGCTAGTAAATAGATGACTGATTCTCCACTGAGTAGTAGTGAGTGGTACGAGTAGAGAATCCATCTACTCCTTTCCAATTATTTCAGATACCTCTATATAAGAATCCGCATACTACTCTAGTAATTAAAAGCAGTGTGTGTTATAAAATATCCACAGATACCGACAGATGCTTCAATACTGACTTGTCCTTATGAATTCTCACCGGGTGATAACCCGGGCTGAAACCAGGAAAAGGTCTTCAGATACTACTCAACATCACTCCCCGACCCGAGAGTAAAACCCCAGGTATATTGCTAGTCTAGATATCGCACCCGACAACTAATCGATGGATCTATTTAGTAGTGTTAACAAAAGTCCAGCTATAAATATCTGATACTCTAGATAGTCAACAACCTCAATTATAACCAAGCGATCAATAATATCTTAAACCCAATCTTCTATGCTATACTTGATGTTCCATCGGAAACTCCGCGGTATGATTACCTCTCAGAACCTAGGTATCATCTACTATTCTCTCCTCCATGACACGACCCAATACTTAATAGGTGAGAATTATGGCGAATAGTCCTTGGTTCCTATCCAAGTTCATATCCATATACACTCAAGAGTCCTCGCTATAATAAACCCGAGAGTCTATGCTATCCATATCAAACGCAGTACAAGCAAAGACCAACATTTCTAATCAACAGGTGGTATTGTCAGGTGGTTCAAACTCCAACTGAACAACAATCTTTCCTATGCTCACACACTGGCCCAGCCTACTCGAACCCATACCCGTCTGCAATACTATGCTTTAAAGGAATAGAATCAGATAAATTTTCCGCACTGCCATCTCTACTATATTAGCTTTTAATCGAACCAGCCCGCTATCCAAAACTTCTTGTCTTTCATTTACTCATCGCAAAGTAAAATATGCACACCTACTCATCCATCCGTCCATCCATCCATCCATAACATCAAACAGACATTCAATCCAATCCAATCCAGTCAAGTCTCATCATATATATAATTCTAACATGAGTATTTCCTATTCATTCCTACTATTTCTCCTTGTATAGTCTCAACCTTGTACGAGTACTCAAGTAAAGCTTCTTAATTCATCTTCATCTACTCATACAGTACTCATAGCAAATCTTCAGATCAAATCGTCAATTATAATATAGACTCAAATAAACTAGTAAATAAGTAACTTACAGAATACCCTCTCCCTCTAGATCATAGGAGATTAAATCTCTGGAGTCTGGACACAAACATATAAGAACAAGAGAAGGATCAGCATCATCATCATAGTTAAGTATCACCACTCTCTCCAAAAGCCCCTAAACGCTTATGCATCTTAGAATAGATATTAATATGCCGCCCCACTGCCGAGTAATACGAGCTTCAATCCAACTACTCGAGTAGACAAAAGCCACTTTCCTTTCCGCTCGCAAACTGCCGAGCGTCGACATGTAAAAAATATTGTCGACGCAAAAAATATATACCGGTATTGGTCTGCTATGACGGTAACCCCTAGAAGTAAAGCGCCGTCTGGACTCTGCAGTAAGGAAGAATTGAAGATAACTTAATTACCTTCTTGCTTTAGTCATGGGTGACGGTCAAGATAATCTCTAGTACTGCAGCATTATTATATTCAGGTAGTACTCGTAATACCTCCACTGATCCATCATGATTAAGAATATCATGACCTTCCATGCAGTTGTGCAGCGGTGGGATGTAGCTGGAATATATATACGAGTACTCGAGTACCTATTTTCATATCCACATTCTCAGTCTTCCTCTTGAGCTTATACTTACCCTGTACACCAATCTTCTGCTTCGGTATGATAGGAAGAGCCGACATCGAAGGATCAAAAAGCAACGTCGCTATGAACGCTTGGCTGCCACAAGCCAGTTCCGTACTAAACGCTATAAGCTATAAGCTACATATCACATTATATATATATACTGATATCACTCTAGCATCCCAATCCAGCATCCCAATCCAGCATCTCAACTCACCACCAATCCACTACACCACTACACCACCATACCAACAATACCGGTGGCATTACACTATTTCGGTCACTACCCCCTCTTCACTACTCCCTCACCCTCCACACCCTCACCCACATTCTCCACACCCTCCACAACACCCACAATTCCCACAACTCCCATAACACCCACAACACCTATAATTCCCAATATTTCCACACCACAACCTCCACAACCTCCACATCCTTCACAACCTTCTCCCTCCCTCTCTCTCCCTCT